GTGTTTGCTTCCAGGCTCCTCCAGGAAAGGTGGAAGAGGTGGTGAAGTTTGCTATTGATGCAGGCTACCGCCTCATCGACTGTGCCTATTTCTACCAGAATGAAAATGAAATAGGGAACGCGGTCCGGCAGAAGATCAAGGAGGGGGCTGTGAAACGGCAAGACCTCTTCATTGTCACTAAGGTACAAGGGTGCAGGATCATTGGGGCACTTAGCTTTTCTCCATGAGAAACCCTCATTCCATCTGTAAAGTAACCTAAGGACTTATGCCCTTCTATGATGCTCATTTCATGGTTGTCTTGTTATGTGCTATAAATTCCATTCTTTATTTGCAGTTTGAACTGAGCTTTACCTAAGCAACCATTGATGACTTTGGAAAGATAACAGCGTGGCTGTTGCCAATTCAATAATTTCTTTGCATCTATTAAGTCACTTATACAGAAGGTTTGTTTGCATGCACCCTAGAAGGATCAGAAAAATAAAAAGGCAAGATAGATGTCTGAATTCAGAGGTGCTGTGCTGTTTACAGGTGTGCAAAACATTAGAAAGTTGTGTCATGTACAACACGTAAGCCTGAAAAGGAGTAATTGAAGTATGGGACTTCAGTCTGGAGTATTTTTCATGTATTTACTCCATTGCTTCACCTCATCCGCTTGTCTCAGGAACGCTCTTCAGCAAAAAGTGAGAACACTTCAATTAAAAGTTGTATGACTTCAGATTTTCACAACAAAACCAGAAAACATTGAGCATAACTAAGCTTTCCCATGTACTCTTCATTTCTGTTAAAGAACAGGTTTTAATTTGAATAATACTTGCAAGTTCTTCTATTTAGACAACTTGCTACTTCGTTTCAAAAATGAAGTAAAATTGACAACAGTTCTCACTGTGGCTGGCTAAAGGGGACAGAAGGAGGGCAGCTATGAGCCGCTCAAGACTCAAAATTTAGGCTGAAGAAAAAAAAAAATTCGAACACAAACAAGTTTGCTGTGTCAGATACGCCTGGCAGAGCGTTAACATTTAGTTCTGAGAATCTCTTTTTATAAGTAGGGATACTGGTTGTCCACCTTCACTACTGACTCCCTCATTCATGGTATGTTTGCCCCACCTCATCATTAAAATATTGACAGCCATTGGATTGGTGTCTATTCAGCGTGCACTGGGTAGATGGGCAGGGAATTGTCCTCCCAGAACACCAAGGGAGAAGCTTCTGTCCCCTGGTCTGGACTGTGGAAGCTGTAGAGTCATGGTTGGGCTTGGTTTCTTCCCACAGTTGTGGAACACATTTCATGAGAGGTCCCTGGTTAAGGTAGCGTGCAAGAAGAGCCTCGCTGCACTGCAACTGGACTACCTTGACCTCTACCTGGTACACTACCCTATGGGATTCAAGGTAATCCTGCTCTGCATTCCTTTTCTCCTTACCTGGCCAGAAGCACAGTGCATTCTCTCGTCTATCCTGTGATCATCTTCACTATGCAGCTGAGATATGCTATGGTTCACCTGGCTCTTCCCTGAACCTGGTGGTATCAAGCATTCCATCACTGACTAGGTAGTGGTACGTTTTAGCCTGTGGAGCTGGCTTTCCACCTCTGTTGAAGCGAGATAGTCGTAGGTACGAGCACTGCTAATGATCCCCCTGGGTCTTCAGGGAAACCGTAACCAACACGGGATGGTGCAGTCTGGGATTTTGGCCACAACAGTGTGGACATCTTAGGTTTTGGAGATGCTGGCTTGATCTGGAGTAGCCAACAGTGAAAAATGAAGCAGAGCCCTGAAAGAACATGCTGGGTTTTTTCCCCTCTGTCTACGCCTGTGTAAAACAGATAAAAACTCAAAATGAAGCAGAGCCCTGAAAGAACATGCTGAGTTTTTTCCCTCTGTCTACACCTGTGTAAAACAGATAAAAACTGTAGAAAAAAAGGTAAGAGGGTGTCTGTTCCCTTCTCTCTAGATCTAAATTACGTAATTCCTACTAATCTCCACTCTTTGTATGCAGGGATTGATTTGTAGAAATATGGCCCTCGTCCAAAAGAGAATACTGATGAACACGCCTAATTTTTAGTAGCACAATATGTTTAACTAACTTACTAACATGCTGCCTGTAACTCCAGTCAGAAGTGCTAGTAACCAGGAGGAAATTCAACTTTTAAAAAAACTCCATGTATTATCTGCCTTGAAATCACAGGCTGGAGAAGAACTGCATCCCATGGATGAGAAGGGTATGAGTATTCCCAGTGATACCAATTTTCTGGACACGTGGGAGGTAAGTTAAGGTTTGGTCTTTTGAGCATGTGCCAGCACTAAAGACGGAGCAGAGATGTGTGTGCACGATGAAATTGGGGGATACGTTCGGGTAGGGAGGACAGTGACACAGAATTGTTATTTCATGACAAGGATGAGCAGAGCTGTTGCTCCCTCTTGGTTTGAGGAGGCGGCTTTAAGTCTAAAGAGGATTAAACTATCAGCACTGTAGGTGCTGTCACGAAAATAATATTTGAATATGCACAATGGTGGAACCAGAGCGTGAATTAATCCAGGCGTGGCTGTTGACTTAGTGGGTGTTTCATACAGATGGAGAATTCTCACACTTTTCTGCGTTGGGTGTCAGCACCTCAGGCTGTCCTTCAAACCTCCTTTCCTCGTGGCCTGAGAGGATTCAGGGTCTGCTCCTGCCACCTGTGCCTCT